GTGCGCCTGGAAGATGAACGAAAGCTGCAAGTCTGACCACTACTGCTTGAGGACCATCCTTCGAGTGAGGTACACCGACTTCATCTCAAATGAGACGGTCCGCACTCGCTGCAACAAAATCACAAGGATATTCCAGGCCATTCAGGAAAGACGACTGAGGTGGTTTGGACACGTTCTTCACCAACCTCAGGAGTTTAGTGCCACTGCTCTCGACCTAAAACTTTTACCTAATTGGATACGTCGAAGAGGGAGTCAACTCAAAAGCTGGCTCGACTCAGTCCGTCAGGACATGGAAGTGGTTTTTGGATCTTCGGTATTCGTTCTCCGGCGCTGGAGAAGAGACTGAATGGAGCTCTCCAGATGCGCTACTGCCAGTCGTCACGCACGGAAAGGTACCGTCCGTGACGTCATTGAGGCCGGCTAAATCAGGTATGATCACGGCCGTAAGAAGTACAAATACAGGAGTATCTGAGTGTCACTAATGTTGGATACCTGTTTCACGGAGATCATTATTTTTGTCGGTCACACCTGCCGATTTTGTGTTCATTTTTCGCCGTCGGCGAAAGGAATAATTTCTGTGAGACTTTGTTCAAGCCATCTAGGAAGACAACTGTACGATTCTTCTCATGATCCAGTCACTGCAGCGTCGCAAAGTGTATTCGCGAATTGTATCTGCTGCCCCATATAACGAGGTTTTCAGTGATTATCATTTACTAATGTCTTTTCTGAAGTTATAAAACGGAAATTGAATTCTCTGTAAGTGGCCTCGGTGGTGCGAATTCGTCGAGGTTCTGCGTCATTAGGGTGCCTTGCACGTAGCAGTTTGAATATGGATGACAGATTAAATTTTGAGCATGTACGAACTTGAACATGGTTCGATCCATTGGCTTTATCACCTATCTATACTCAGTAAGCCAACTCTGGCATCTTTGAGCAACAATAATGTAGTCGATCCGACCGGCCGCATGGCCGTCGTTGAAATATGTCAGAAACTGTTTGTGGTGGTGCTGGAAGTACGTGTTAGGGAAAAGCATTTGATTCTCATCATGACGGTTCTTTTTGCCGACACTGGGTTCAGTTCATTCTCCACAACTGGGTGAGAGGTTTCGACTTCTAGGATTTGTATGAGTAAAGGGTAAAATTGGTCTACCTCCGACGATGGAATTTTGCTGGAGTTGGATCTGTGAAAACCACGAGCAAAGTGTTTCGGTGCACGAACGGCCTTATTTACTCAGTTTCGTCATTCACAACAAATGTTAACAGTGGACGGAATCAAGTTCAACGGCGATGTCAACAAAGCAGGCGACTATCAGTTGCTGGTAGCCTGACCGGAATTCGAGAATGTGCCGTATTGTACATCCCTGGTCTACGCTTTTGCCCCCTGGTTAGAATACGGCTTGGTTAGGTCTCGTCTTAGAATCACGCAGTCGGGAAGCACCTATGAATGAAAACGAAAAAGAGCTTCCCAACCACGGTGACGAAGCTTATGCTGCGGTAGTTGCCAGATCTCTTCTTATCTACCTTCCTGAGGACAGATCCAATGGTACCTGAACGCCAGTCATCATGCACGACCTAATTTCTCACGATCGTTCATTTCTATTATGGTGCGAGAATATCAATGCAAAACGAAGGGGATACCGTCGTTGGAACATCAGGTCAGCAGCTGCCCGTGTCAATGCTGGAAACACCTGTTAGTGGTAGCAGAATTGAACATCTCATCGTCATATCCACAGTCAAAACTATCAAAAGGGTTATTTTTTGAATCGTCGCCGGGTCCAATCGGGTCGTTAGAATCCCTGGCAATATTCATGAGGCTACGGTGAGGATGTATTTCCACCAACTCTTGTGGCACCAAGTATTTGGTCTCTTTATCCTGTCGTTCGCTAGTTGATGTTAATGCGTACACAGGTGAGAGAAGGTGTTGGTGAACTGACCCCTCAGTCGCACATAAGCCAGTTAGTCATTGACTGGTCCCCACGCAAATAGACCACTATTTCCTTGGTAAGATAGGACAATTGTCAAATGATGTATATCAGAAGTCACCATGGTACACAGCGGAGTGTGAGTTGACACACGAAATCGTTTTTTCTGACCGCCTGAGTCGGGAATGCGAACAGATAGCCTAAATCCACATTTTACTACCAAAGGCCGCGCGCCATCAGCGTTTAGGTCTGGCCAAGTTGGCGCATTCCAGCATCCAAGAGTCCGTGTCCGATTGAGTAGTCCATCCCAAATATGTACTATTCACTCACACCACTGGATCAGGGTTGCGTAACGCATTGGTTCCCGTGGTCGTCGTAGCA